GCTCGCTCAGTGTCTTATTTCCTCAACACATTTTTTTAATTGATTTCACAGAGAGGAAAGGAGAGGGGGAGAGATAGAAACATCAACGATGACAAAGAATCATTGATTGGCTGCCACCTGCATGCCCCACACTGGGGATTGAACTTACAACCCAGGCATGTGCCCTGACCAGGAATCAAATCGTGACCTCCTGGTTCATAGGTCGCAGCTCAACCACTGAGCAACACCAGCCAGGCTCAACGCATTTTTTTTAATGAAAACTTAGGACCCAAATATAGTTATGGGTCCCGGGTTCAGATCTGGTCAAGGGCACATGCCCAGGTTGCAGACTTGATCCCCAGTGTGGGGCGTGCAGGAGGCAGCCGATCAATGATTCTCTCTCATCACTGATGTTTCTATCTCTCTCTCCCTCTCCCTTTCTCTCTGAAATCAATAAAAATATATTTTAAAATATATAGAAAGAAAGGAAAATGTAGCCCTCCTTTTAAACTGCTTCTCTCTCGCAGTATTCACAAATTCTGAATTGTGGAGCGAGCAAATGCTTTCTAATTTGGTTCCATTTTTGTGGCCATCGGTGACTCCTCTGCTGTGCTCCTGCCGTCTGCAGAAGTAAGAACCGAATGCTCCCAGAATAGCAGTGACTTTGAAATCACGAGGAATTAGGATTTCTCAGACGGCGACACATGAAATGGAAGCCCTCATAAACGCGCTTTGGGAGTTTGAGGCATACACAGCCCTATTTCAGGTTCTTTTTTATTTTACAGAAACTTGTGTTAAGAGTAAGCCTCCATAATAAAAAGAAGGGGGGAAATTAGACATAGCTTCCCCCAGGCAATTACAAAATAAAGGTCAGCCTTGGAAAGGAATCTGATCAGAAAGACATTCTCTGTGAAATAAAAAAAAAAAAAAACAGTAGATGCTCCACATACAAAAAGGATGTCCATTCGTTTTCAAATCAATTGCGTTTTTGGTGTGTGTTTTTAAGTACTTTCCCATGTAATACTCAAGGAGAAGCATAAAATCCGGAAAGGAAAGAGCCGACTGATAGATTGTTAGAAACACGGAATAGTTCAAAATATGAATGTAACGCTAAGGGTGACTTGGTAACAAATGGCACGTTAGCTCGCTGCTCAGCCCGACGTAATTAATATTCTAGGTCATGCTTAAGTCCCCATGATGGAGGGTCTGAAGGGAGGAATTCAAGAAAAATATATATCTATTATATAACTCATTGCCTTCTTTCCCCCCCCCCCCTTTTGACGAGTCAGAATCGGAGCCTTTAAAAAAAAACCCAGCGCTTTCACAGCTCATTTGCCGCCTTCACCACTGGGCCCCCAGTCGGCAGCCGGGCCTGATGCAGGGAGGTCAGCAGGAGGCAGTTAGCTGAGTCCTCTCCTGAGAACCCCTGGGTCTTATTGAGCTGAATGTTAGCATGACAGTACTGCAAATAACTCAGTTGTAGGCTGTTTTTAAAAAAAAAAAATACAGTTAGCAGAGATTTCCCCTCTAGAAAATGATTGCTGAGAATGAAGTCCCACAAGCGAGCTTGGCAGCCGCCCTTCCGGGCTGTGAAAAATGTGGAGGCTGAGAAATAGGTCCTAGTCCCTGAGGACGAACTTGGTCCTTGGTGGCCCCCAGGAATATTTTTAGAAACTCACAACAAGCCGGTGAGTCACAGGTGGCTCACAAATGATGAACTAGAGCCACCAGGACAAGAGTAAGTTCACGTCGTTTGATTTACTGCAAGAAGAATAATTAAATGGGTCCTTTCTCCACCTAACCAAGTAGGGTATTTGCTGTAGGGGTCGTGGGAGGGCCGGACTGTGTTCATTGACATTTTTAGCATCAACTGAATTTCTCAAATAGAGCGTTAACTGAATTTCTAAAATATGAACTTAAATTCTAGACTATTAACTTAATTTCTAAAATGGATCCTTTCTCAAGCTAACCAAGTAGGGTATTTGCTGTAGGGATTGTGGGAGGGCCGGACTGTGTCCATTGATGGCTTTAGCAAATGCATTAACTTAATTTCTAAAATATCGACAGCCGGAGGATTTTAAATGAGACATTTTCAATTCAATTAAACTGTATTTTCTATCTATATTTGATTTAAATTTCAAGGAGAAGCCACAGTAGGAGGGCTCCATGGAGGTTGCCGAGTACCATTTCAGGAAGCTATCAGGCCTGCGGTCCATTTGCATTTCCCATCGAGCCCCTGTGTACATGTGCATGCAAATTTCGGGGGGTGGGGATCAGAGGAGATTTCTAATGGGGGTGACGCGAATAGCCGGCAGCAGTTACCCAGGTAGACAGACATTGTAAAGCATAAATTATCATCTGGAAATGATATGCTAACAGACTTCCTTTAATTAGATTATCACGGAACAGAATGGCATTTTCTTCTATCTCTGTCATAGACTTATGTAGGTTGAACTCTATTGTATGTCAGAGTCGTCTTTTTAATGTAACACTTATTGTTTTTTTTCTCATTACAACTGATACATTCTCCTCGTAGAAAATCACCCTGAAAAGATGTTAAAAATTACCATCCACTTAAAAGTTACTGTCCACTGAAAGCTATTTTGAATGTATATGTATACCTATTTTCTTTTATTAAGATCATTTCACTATCTGTGTACGTATCCACCTTGTTCTATAGTCAGTGTTATAGGGAACGAATGTTAACTGGTGTGTACAATTGCCTGTGACATTTTCAACACTGTTCTTTCTTAAACAAATAAATTGTATGGGGGTGGGGGGAGTCGCAAAGAAGAGTTAGTTCAAAACATTTTTAAAATATTTAAATATATTTACATTAAGTTGGTTTTATCTGATAACATTCAGTCCCGGATTATAACATAGGAAAAGTTGAGTGGGAGGTGATTCGAGTTAGTTCTAATTTCTAGATCGCAATGCGCTCGACAACTAATTGAAAGATGAAAAGGGTATAATCTATAACTTCTTAGAAAGAAGTTGATAGGATTTTGAAATAAACCTTAAATATTTTACTAAGAATGTGGCTTTGGAAAACAGTAGTGAGGCAGAGGCCTCATGGGTATATCTGCATGATGCATTGTTATTCCGGAGAAGCACCTAGCCTCATCTTAAAGTATATTTTTATTGATTTCAGAGAGGAAGGGAGAGGGAGAGAGAGATAAAGACATCAATGATGAGAGAGAATCATGGATCAGCTGCCTCCTGCACACCCCTTACTGAGGCTCGAGCCCACAATCCTGGCATGTGCCCTGACCAGGAATCGGAATCAAACCGTGACCTCCTGATTCATAGGTCGATCCTCAATTACTGAGCCATGCCAGCCGGGCCAGCCTCATTTTTAGTGTCTACTATGGGACAAGCACTCTGCTAGGCTCTGGGGATGCAAAAATACCCAACACGGAGTCCTGGCACGCCAGCTGCTGGCCTGGGGAAGACGGACACACAGAAAGTGGGACAGGACACGGAATCCAGCTGGAGCCGGCGGTATTAGATGCAGGTTAACACTGATTTGAGTGTTGGGCTGGAAGTAGGACGTTTTCAAGAATAGGTCTTCAAAGACAACTATCCTAACTAATCCTAATACCTTGGAACTGTTGATTCCATGAGGGAAATACAGCAACCAGAAATATTTATGGATATGAGAGAAAAGCACATTTTCGGGGTAAAGAGAGAGAGGGTCAATGGATCCATGTTTTACGTTAGCCTGGAGCGCGCACAGAGCCAACAAGCCAGTCACACTGTCCTCTAAAGTGTGACTTGTCCTTATGAATATGCATGCGCATATATGAAAAGGTATCCAAGTACGGTTCTGTACTCAAACACCATTGAGTTTTCAGAAGAATGGGCATCTGCTAAACTCGCATTGAACACTTGTCATCCATACATCTGCTGACCCTCTGTTGCATAGCAGGTGCTGTGCTAAGAAAGCCCTGACTCTTTTGACACAGTGTGACAAGGTCATTGATGAATAGCAAGGGTACCGTGACATTACGGAAGTAGAGCTCCGAACCACATGAATTCAAAATAGAGGATGTTATTTTGAATGTATTATATACATATTCACCTGTACATCCACTTTATTATTATTTTATCCACTTTGATTCTATATATAATATATCTACATATATATAGTGATTATTATATATATAGCCACTGTGATTACTATATATATATATATATATATATCTCCACTTGGGTTATTATTTTAAAGAACTTAAAATAACTGCCATTATGTAACAAATCATCATTCAAACAGTCAAATGTTTACTGCATACATACTTTGTCATTATTATTTTTGTTGTTGTTGTTAATCCTCGCCCGAGGATATTTTTTCCACTGATTTTTAGGGAGAGTGGAAGAGAGAGGGGAAGACAGAGAGAAACATTGATGTGAGAGAAACACATCGATACGGTTGCCTCCTGCACGAGCCCTGACCAGGGCCCAGGCTGGGGAGGAGCCCGAAACCAAGGTACATGCCCTTGACTGGAATTGAACCTGGGACCCTTTGGTCCGCAGGCGGACGCTCTATCCACTGAGCCAAACCAGTTAGGCTTGAGTACATACTTTGTACCTGAAACTGGCGCAAGCCTTGTGTATTTGGGTTTGTCTGAGTGAATGTGTGGCTATAGATATGGGTCCATATACACACTCATAGTTAGGTAATGGTTAGAATACAAAAAGAATGACTTAAGGTGCTTCTGTTATTTTTTTTCTCATAAATACAATGATATAAAATGTACCTTGTGTGACAGGTCGAAACCATAGCTCAGGGGTTTTTTGCATATTTTGTCTTCAGAATCGCACGATTCTGAAAGGCTGGTCGGTCTGGCGTGGGGACGGAGCGTGGGCCTTTTTTGATCTTCCCTGGTAAATCTGAAATTCGCCTCCAGAAGTCGTTTCACATAGTCCTTACATGTATGAAAAATGTGGCAGTGCAACTTGATCTTCCTTTTACTTCACGTGAAAATTAAAGACCCAAATCAAACTTCTGTCTGCTTTCCTAGATCCCAGGCATATACAACTCGCCATTCAGAAAGGATCCCGACCCGCGGGAACTACGGCTGCAGAAGGCAAAGCCTTTAACGCCTCAGAGACCCAAAGCCAAGCAGAAGCGGCCCCACAGCCTCAGCAGCTGGCTGGCCTGCACCAGCACCCGGTCCTTCCCTCGCTCCCACACCCTGCCGCCCATCGACAGGAAGCAGTGCCAGGTACTCCTGGGCCCCCTGTGAGAATCCTTCCCACGGTCGTGTGCTTTGCTGGTTTGTTAAAAAGTGACTGTTGTGTTGTCTTTGTGACCATAAAAAAGAATTATTTTTTTTTATAGGACCTAACGTTAAGTAAGAAATCTAAAGTATGTGTAAAACACATACCAAGGAAGCAACCAGATATTTCTCTGGTATTGAACTGTGCAATGTTTTGAATGGGAAGTTAAGACATAGGATGTTTGGTGAAGATCTAGCCTTCTGTGTGAAAATATTGTGGGGTTTTTTTTCACTTTTTTAAAAGTATATACATACATTTTTTATTGATTTCAGAGAGGAAGGGAGAGGGAGAGAGAAATATCAATGATGAGAATCATTGATCGGCTGCCTCCTGCATGCCCCTACTAGGGACTGAGCCAGCAACCCGGGCATGTGCCCTGACCGGGAATCAAGCTGTGGCCTCCTGGTTTATAGGTACTAGTAGATGCTCAACCACTGAGCCATGCCAGCCAGACTGAAAATATTGTTATAAACAGTATTCATTATAACCTGTTGTTACTAGAAAGATCATATGTGTTATCAAATATATTTAATTTAACCTGTCATCTGATGACCCATACCTTTACATATAATCTTTACATATAACTATAAACATAATTTAGATTTGAGTACTTTTAAGAGTACTAGTATATGAGTTGGGGAATGAGAGAGGGCCCGAAACAGTGCAAGACTCCAGTAGAAATAAACAGACCATCTTCACTGTGGCCTGGGATAGAGGTAAAGCGTGGAATGTGTTGGGTGACCATCCTGAACGTCTCATAGAGCAATGGTTCTGTCATCCCCACCAGCACTTAAACTGGGAATACAGCCGCCACCAGACAGCATCAGCCCAGAACTGGGTTTATTTTGGTTCACACACCAAGCTCCCAGAGCTCCTGCCTATGGGTTCTGTGCGCAGGCGTGCCTCTGTTTACCTCTCTCTGTATAAAAAATTACTCCAGCCCAGCCAGGTGGTTCAGTGGTTGAGCGTTGACCTATGAATCAGGAGGTCATGGTTCGATTCCCCGTCAGGGCACATGCCTGGGTTATGGGCTCGATCCCCAGTAGTA